AATAAAAGATACATTATGGACCAACCATTATAAATAACTATTATATATCAGAATTTAATTGATCAGTTTTGAATCACTAATGATCTTGACTCATTTTCTATTCCGTATACCAATAATATTCACTCATTTTCTATTCTGTATACCAATAATATTCTTAATTCTTCTTCTTCATCTTCATTGGTCTCAAGATCGTCCTCCACGTTCAAATATGAAGTAAGTATTCAACATCAGCGGTATTTCCCTTGTTTGTACAAGTAAAACCAATAACGGACTAAGAAATTGAGGTTAACATATAAACAAAGGCATGCATGACTACAAACTAAACGAAAAAAATTTAGATAAAACCAATGCATGATCACCGTAGCATTGGTGAAGCGACCTCAGGGTAACAACAACAATAAATGAGTGCCTGTATCAGATTCAAACATTCGCGTTCCCTTAATGCTATCTCCTCTCTTTCTTTTACCGGTATGTAAGAGTCTTCCATCTGTTCCTTCTCATTCCTCTATAGATACAATCATAACTTTTGTGTTCTCTATCACCTGCAAAAGAAAGATTTCAAGATACTAAAGGATGTAGAACATGTTCTTTTCATCCTCATCTCCAGCTACGTGCTCAAGTAACGTTGTTAACATTTCATATCATCACCATCTTCTTCTTTCTCTTCCGATTAGGGTATTCGATGCCATTTTGAGCTTTCCTATAACAAACATGCTCTCCACTGCGATCAATGTTGTATCTCCTTCTATTGCAAAACGTATTGTTTCCTATATAATTCACCATGGCTGATTCCGGTTGATGATAACACAAAGACAGAGCAAAAATCATATCAGAAACATGACTCTCAATTAAACCGGAAAATCCTAACATATCAATACTTATATATATATATATATATATATATATATATATATAAAGTTTGGGTTTAGTACTTGTTTTAAATTTTAATTAAAAAAAATATTGCTTACAAAACAAATATCTACAAACACTAAATCAAGCACACACACAAACAATCTAATCGTGTACTTACAATTGTTTTTTTTTATAAGTTTGTAGATGGAGTGATGAAGAATATCGTGATCATAGGAAACATGAATCATATTGAACTAATTCACTTCTCCAAAAGCAGCTTTATCACACTCCACAGTATAAGAAAAAAAAAAGAAACTTACAAAATAAACTCACGTTATGTAGAACTCATATTCCAAAATAATTCAAAACAAAGCTAAAAAGTGATCTAAATTAAATTACATACATGCGGCTTGAGCAGTGTTAATAATACGAATCAACTCTTAGTTCTGGCAACATCTCTTACTAATAAAAGGTGTTCATTGAGGCCTCTCAATATATCTACATCAGCACAATCAAAAGCATTTTAGAGGAAGCCACGTAAGCGGAGATTTTGCAAGATGCCACATCACTCTTAAAAACCACTTACAATTATCCACGTCTCATTGACACATAGTATATAATAGGTCACTCAAGAGACTCCCCTCGCCCAAACTTCAGCTTTTGGAATTCCCCCTAAGCCACCCAATCAAAATTCATCGCACTTATTACTTCTCAAATGTTGATGAATTTGGCGTGGTCATCAACATCATTGGATCACTCTAGAGAAGTTCACTCTACGAAAGTGTAATTAATAGTAGATACAAATTCGTGGAAGAGACCAGCATCATCCTCCGAAATCATGAATCCGCCAACATTTACCTTGCTCAGTTCCTCGATTGCTCGCACGCAGCACCCTGGAAGCGAATTGCCGAAGCCGACTACCCAAGATAACCCTTAGATTAGAAAAACTGAAGCGTAAAAACCTTAGTTCACGCTTTAGAGGTATTTTTGCTCTACTAACATAAAGATCCATCCCTCTATGTATATTTTGTTTCTATACGTGTGATTAGATGATGTGTGTATGTGTAGGACAAAACTTCAACGCACTGTGATGAACAAAAATAAAATACTTTCACTTGGATTTGATAGTATTATATTTGGCTTTCATCGTAAGTTTTGGAATCAATTTCAATGAAAATTAAAATGTGTAATGAAATAATGTTCCTTTAAAAAACATTTAGCATGTGGTTTTCCTCAAAAAGTTTCAATGGTTTTTTTTATAAATAATAAGAATGACCCATTTACATACACTTTCATATTACTGAGATTTAACTTTTTTCTTACATGCTTGCAGTTTATTTCAATATGACCATATATCAAGTTTGTCAAGGCTTTAAAATTCATGAGGTCAAAATTTTGTCTTCCCTACTCCGCTCTTGTCGTTATGTCGAAGCGAATGTGTTGGATACGTTCAGTTCAAGCTTTGAGATAATTAGGTCAAATTTGTTCAAACAAACTAAAATAATTAGGTTGAAAGTAATTGAAAATTTGGCTGCTAAAATTCCGAAAGTGATTTTAAATTTAAGCCGCTGATAAAATGGGAAAGAAAAGTTTTAGCTTTTACATATAAAGTGAAAAATAAACTAATCAAAACATTTAAAGGGAATTTGAATATTGACTTCTTAACACGATCAAAGTCAATGATGTAGTATCACACAAGAACCATCGTTCTTTACTTGCTAATCCATTGCTTGGTTATTTAAAAATAATGATATTTTTGTTATTTTTCTTCAAGATTTCATAACATTAGAAACCAAGTTATCAAATTACACATATTCAAATCCTTAACAACATAACTAAAGAAGATAAATTTGAAAAGCTTTTGGAATTTCTCCAAAATTAAAACTACTATTAGAAAAGGTACATTTCATACTATTATGAAGAGATCATTTTCCTTTAAGATTATTAGAGACTATATAGATGAGAAAAAAAACTATATAAGTAATAATAAGAAACAAAAAATAAATTTCAATTTGTAAATATAAATTAGAATGAATAGATTAATAGTATCATATAGGTTATATTTATTAAAATGCTAAATACAATATCATATGACTTTTTAATATATAACTAAAATTGAATTTAAACTTAAGTTAATTAATCTAAAAATGTCAATTATTAACGCCCGGATTTTCCTCTAGTGATCACTAAATTTAATAAAACTGAAACAATTTAAAAGCAAAGAGAAAGTTATATGAACAATTTTAAAAAATATCTAATTAAATACTACTATAGAGAGCAAATCTTTAATTAATCATATAAGTGTCTATATGTATATAATAAACACATAATTTAAAAATAGTATGTGGGATGAAAATCACATGTCAATATATTTAAGAATAAAAGAACTTTGTGTCTTTTTTTATTTTCATCCTTTTCTGAAACTACCCTTATAGATTTTAATTTTTTAATTTTAATTCAAAACAAAAATATATTTCAAATTATAAAATACATGGTGGAAAAATTATAATCATAATATAATTATTTAAATATTAGTACCTTGACGGATTATATCCTTGATTCATAAGACATTATCTTCAATATTTACGAATTTTAACTTTCTTAATTAAACAATTTCGAGATAAAAATATTCACATCATTATTTAAAAATTTTAAAGTCTTTATCAAATTTGTACAATTTTATCCTTATATTCTCGCAAAATAAAATCGAAGTCAAAATTTATAGAGATTTTGTTAAAGATTTTTTTGTAAACTTTGATCTTTTGTGTAAGAATCATAGATATCGTATCCAATAGATTTAATCTAAAAAATTTCATAAATTATATAACAGATTAAAGTTTAATGAAATATCACTTATGAGATGAAATAATGACACATAGCATATTGTTAAAAGATTTTTTAAATCCAATTGATGTGTTCGTCAAATAACTCCGGCCCCAATAATTTCACTTCTTAGATATCCACAAACGTTTTAAATATTATATAAGCTAAATGACATATAACACAACATGTTTTATAATTCATAAATAAAAACATTCACATTTGTCATATGTACCTACGTCTCTAGTTATAAAATCCTTAATACAAATGATAAGATTGGTACAAAATTAAACGAAACAAATAAAACCACTAAAGCAAGTACCACCACCTCCACCTACAACATACCGTACCTTCAACCACCTCCACCACCACTGTATCCTCCACCACCTTGAGAACAATCTCTCGCCATATAACTTGGTTCACTACACCTAAAGCAAGTACCATCACCACCATATCCTCCTTAATAATTTCCACCATCACGTCCTCACCTCCACAGCCAAAACCACCACATCCACCAGATGAACCGCCGTTATTTCACTGAACAGGAGCACCCTCGGGTCCAGAAACTTCAACAGTCTTCAGACGACTGGCGTTGTCAACCTCAACCTTGAACTCAACAGCTTCATCAACGGTAAGGCTACGAAATTTTTCAGAGCTAATGGACTGGTGAACGAAGAGATCGTCACCACTCACCACCGTCGTCTGGTGTGATGAAACCAAACCCCTTGTGTGTATTAAACAACTTCACCGATCCCTTGCGTCTCTATCCACCACTCATATTTTCATCACCGTCGCTCATTCGGATCAGTCTCCGACAACCAAAAATCACTGATCAGCTATTTTTCCTATCTCTCATAATAAAACATATAAATTAAAGTCAAAATAGATTAGCTATTTTTCCTATCTCTCATAATAAAACATATAAATTAAAGTCAAAATAGGTTAATGGCAATTAAATAAACAAAAGAATATAAAATTACATATTCATAGCATATTCAATCCTTTAGTCGCCTAAAACTGAAATTAAAAAATATATATTTGAGTCTAAAATTAAAAAAATAACACAACAAACAATCTATCAAATATAAAAGAGGTTAGATGAAAGCCTAACTCCTATAAAGATGGGATTGAACTTTTTGATCCATGACGAAAACATGTACCATAAAATACACAAATTAACTCACACGTCAGTTGTAATCTTCTCTCCATCGATTCAAGTATTAATTTCCACACATCCAAATTATGATTGAACGTAAAAATCATATGTGGAAATTGCGGCATCTTTCAATTCACTAATCAAAACTGAAACAATCAAACCCTAAACTTTTCTCTCACGATTACAAGGATTCAAAGTGATAGAATTTCTTAGAAGCCCAGTATCTATTTAACAATTTCATCACGATAGACATACCTATGCAATCTCGACAGATATCGTTTTAGAGAACTCTGTTTTTCCCGAGCTTCAAAATAGACTCAATATGTTTTAGAAAGCAAATTAATGTTAGAGTTTCTAAAAAACAAAAGAAAGCATATAAATAATTCATAACAAAATACAAATAAAAATAGTAGATTAGAGATTACCTTCTCGTAGTCATCTAATAATAAAAAAACTCATAAAATTAAGAAATATTAATATACAAAAATACATGTTTATATCAGATCGATTTAAACGTAGAGATGAGTTCTTCGAGAACCTTGACCAACATAGTTCCAATAATTTATCAAATCTTTCATATAATAACACGACATAATTATTTCTACGAATAACAAATATTCTATATAAAAAAAAAGGTCTCAATCACACAAATAATCAAAGAAAATAATCAACAACCAATATACAAAATAAAAAGAAAAAACAAAAAAAATCTAAAACATAGTCGATTATAATATACCTTATCAATCTCATTGACCTCCAAAAACTTGTAAATCACTTCCGCATCAGCGCAATGCTCCGCCTTCAAAAACACAAAAACTATGAGTAACGTTGACAAAAAAAAAATATTTCGTTATGTAGTGCATGGTAAAAAATTATTTTACATCAGATCTGATGAGAGACAACTATCAATAATTAAACCAACACAAATTATAAAATTGTAAGTAATTTACAAAGAGACATAAGAGAAGCGCTAACTAAAATTAAAGAGGACTCACGATTGATGTAAAAAGTTTGTTAATGAATTTAATGAAGAGGCATGTCTTCATCAACTCGTTCATTCAATCTCTTGATAGAAACTCCCATGAGCGGTTACCTAAAACATAATTCACACGATACAAATCAGCAAAACAATAACAATCTTAATAATTCATAGACCAAGATAATAACAATACAAATATAACCTCAAGAAAAAGTAAAAAATAATAACGCAAAATAAAAAAATCGATCCATAAAAGAACCAAAGCAACAAAAAAAAAAGCTATAATATCAAAACGATATGTTTAGGCTAACGAATCTGAGTTCTAATGGTGTGGCTGCGGCTCTATATTTATAGCTTAAAATCTAGGGCACACTGTCATAATTATCTCTAAAAATTTATTTTTTAAAATTGGAAAATTTCTTGATACAAATATTCGTAAGATATTTTAATATCTATCTTAACTTTTTATAAAAATTAAAAAACGAAATATTCCATATTTTAATATTAAAAAACGAAATATTCTATATTTTAATATTAAAAAACGAAATATTCTATATTTTAATAAAATTCACACGATTTTATTGTTTTACCCTCACCAAAAAATAGAAAACTGGATTTGATAGTGTATTCATTAAGGGTGATTAAGACTAATCATCTCAAAACACGATTAGACTTATATACCCTTAACAATTAAGATCAAAAAATTTCGAAATCGAGGGTGTTTAGGACATTAGTATAGAGATCAACACACGATTAGACTTATATACCCCTAATTACGAAGAAGAAGAAATTTCGAGAAGAACAATTCATTAAGGGTGTTTAGGACAAATCATTCCAACTTTTAACCACAGGCCTCCAATGCCCTAACTTTCAATATGGTGCGTTTCTACTTCTCAAATAATTATTGTAGAGATATAATTTAGGTGAATCTCAATTTTTTTGAGTAATAATATAGATTTTCATACCTATAATTTACCTGGAAATTTAATTATAAATCTTTTCAAGTTTAGAGATTTTAAAATTCTATTAGTCTTAAACAACATTGAATTACATTTAAAATATTTGTTAGAATAACAACACTTTACATAATGTGTAAATAACAAATCCAATGACACAAAGTTTAAAATTTAACCAGAAATTTAGAAAAACTTTATTAAAAAAAAATAAATGATACTTGGATTTAGAAAACTATTAAATTGAATAAGAAGACCCCATAAACTTTTACATACCTCTTATAGTCTCATGTAGTTAAAGAAATTCACATACAGCTTTGCATTAAGTAAGGCACAACATATTCCACAACCTCCTCATCCGATATACTGAGATGGTCCCCTAACACACTTTCAAACTTCACTTTTCCGGCAACATCCAATGCTTTCAGACCAATCCAATCTTCTCTGTACAACTTTGTCTAATGTAGAATGTATACATATTTAGATTTTCTATAAAACAAATGATCAATGATACAACTGAAATCTAGAAAAATCTACCTGTTGAGTTGACAAAAGAGTATCAAATCCTTCATCTTCATAATATCCAAACCATGCAGTTTCTTTAGGGATTAATGTTGTATCGCTCTCGAACTGTTTACGAATTAAGAATAAGAAAAACAGAACAATGAGCTAAAAACATGTTTTTAAATCTCTAAGTTGAAAAAAGAAGGCAATAAGGTACCATGACAAGAACTAAGTTGTGTAACTTAGTGAATCGGTCTTTGAAAGTGGAGTTTCTTTCGTCAGGTCTCTCATTGTTAACCTTTGGTAGATACTTTGAGTGTTCCAAATACTTTGAGATTTCCTGAGAAAACCAAGCTATTTGTGTTAAAACTCGAATCGATTTTGAATTAATTGACTTGGTTACGTAACTAACTTACACCAGGAATCTTGATATAACCACTGGGAGCAATATGATCCTGCATAGTCATAAATTAATCAAATCATCATTAAAGGGTTTTGATCTTAGAGAGATATAGAGATAAGAGTGTTACTTGTACGAAGTCAGTATAGACCTCTAACTTCAACATAGCTTCACCTATATCACATATTGGACCAGACTTGACACAAAACACAACACACATAATTAACTAAAACCATTTTTTGTTAATTACTATGATTAAGATTAACCAAAGAATTAGTAAAACGAAGTTATACAGCACACTTGGGGATTTTGGCAATGCCAGCATGAGGACCTCCTAAGGAAATATAGTTGATGACAGGAGGAGCATTATCGCAAAACTCGATTAGTCCTCTAGCGACTAAGTTTCCTTGAGACTCTGCGACAATGTTGTAACCTTGACTCAACTCTTTCATCGTTTTCACTTTCTCACACGCTAAACTAGTTTGCTTTATCAATGGCATGAACCATGAGTCCTTTTCTCCGTTTCCTATTTCTCTACAAATTGATTAAAAAGATCCTTTCAAGTTAAAAAAAAAAACACATAACCAAAACAAGTTAGGTAAGTAATGTTTAGTTGTTGATTAATTACAAGCAGAAGCCAGGAGAGCCAGAGAGGTTGGTTAGGAGTTGCGTGAAGTTACTAACTCCACCAGAACATTTATCTCCAATTCCTGTTTTTTTTTTTTTGATAATTAATATTAACTAAATTGTGTTTATTATTTATCGAATGAATTAAACATAAAAATAGATTAGGAAGAAGAAAGTGGAACCCGTTAATTACCGTGAAAGAGTATGAAGGGAATAGAGATTGAAACCGGAATAAAAGAGAATAACATGGCGGCGATCACCGTGGAAAGGAGAACAGACCGCCGGAAACACTTCTCCATTGGATAATTGAGATTCTCAATCTTTGCCGGAATATTCCTTTTTTCTTTCTACGTTATGTGAGTCAAAACGTTTTCTCTCCTATTTATCATCAAAAATAAATGGGACTCCAATCACTTTAAAACAAGAGTTGTGTCTTCTTCTTTTTTTTTTTTTTTTTTTTTGGGCAATAGAGTTTGTGTCTTCTTCACTTGGCTTATTTATAGGCGTTATTAACTAGACCACATATATATTGTTTTGTGATATTTTGTTCTACTGCAGATTTATTTCTTTCTTTATGTCAAAATATTGATTAACTCTTAGACCTCAATTGTTTTCAAATTTTAATATTCAGAGCTGGTTTTTTTCCTATTGATAAAAGTATTTTAGAAGAAAAAAATAAATAAGATAGTCAAATATAGGGACCCTTGAATATATGTTAAGTTTTTAATATTCCAAGCAAGATTGATTCATCACCATAGATTCTTAGTTTTGTTATACCTAGTAATCATATTAAATAAAAAGTGTATTAAATGATTAATAGCAAGCAATATATAAAAACGTGGTGGAGAAATCTTTCGACTAGAATTGCAATTTGCAAAAAAGACTCTTTCTTTTTTTTTGGTCCAAACCCATGGTCAAGATCATCAAGCTTCATATGAATGCAAGTTCAAATCCTTTATTATGGTCATCTACTGACTATTGGAATGTTGTTGATCCTTGAAACATACACTTGCATGTTTGACTGTGTGAAAATCTTTGGTTACTCAATGAAATCGGTTATCGGTAGAACCGGGGCAACTAGATATGGAAAATATGGAGAAATCTTCAGATTTTTACTGCCAAAGGATGGTCTGATTAAAATAAATCCGGAATCCGTTTTTACATTCCTAAAATGATGAGAAGAATACCAAATCGAATTTCCGACATAAGAAACGCAGCATTAAGGTGACAAAAGGAGATATCACTTACTCCCTTTCAGCTTCCATGGGCACCCACACTGTGTTACACTCTGCAAGTTCTGATGAAGTCGTGGCTGGTTGGTTTCTCAGGGGAGATTTCTCAGGGGATCTCCTCTCTGGTAAGTCGCACTGGTTTGTTTTGTAGATACACAATCTCTCTGTCTGCTGCATTTATGAGATGCTGCTCTGATCCTTCTTCATCCGACACAGAAGATGCCTCTGAGTTTGATTCCTCCTCATCTACATAAGGCAAATACGAAGCGATTCACGATTTGGTTTGATCACAAAGGAATTGGATTTTTTGGTTATAACAGTCTCTTAGTTAGGAGCTTACCGGAGAATTCAAGGCGTTCGGGAAGAACACTAACAGCTGTAAGCTGAATGCTTTCTGGCAGAAGACAATTACAGAACGAACCTGAAACTCAACAAACCAAAAGTAAGTATTTAGACACAATTTGTTTGTAACATAGCACAGGGAAAGGTTTATTATAACTTTTACCTACACGGGCTAGCCGATTAATCCATCCTGGAATAGGCTTTCCTGTAAGCTGCAAGCATACTTCTTCAGTAAAATGGTTACAGTTCTTAGCAATCAAATGGTAAGTGTCACCATGGTATTTTCTTGAAAGCTTCTCCATGTATGAGCGGAAATCTGAACGAGACATGCTGGTAGTTCCCAATAAAACCGACCGTCTAAAGATGAAACCTGGACAGCTCCTAGGTTCCACCTCATATACCCCACTTGTTGGATACTCGTGAGCTCCATAGCAATATTCCAAATTATGAGCTACATTGAAGTTGAACAACAACTGTGTTAAAGAGAGCAATAAATAATGAATAACATAACAGGTAAAATCTGAGTTATAAAGGATCAGGTAAAATTTCCATTAAATAATCCTGAGAGTTCCAACACTTTTCTTGGTCCTACATCTATATCCACAAACAATCCCCTTCTCAGAAGAGCCTAGCATTGTCGCCAAATCATTAAAGCATGACTTGCCTAGAACATTAAGACAGCTATTTTTCTCTACCCACAAACAATCCCCTTCTCAAAAGCATACTAAGTAGACAAATGTTCTCTGAGCTTCCAGGATATACAAACTCTCAAAAAGATATTTCTTTGTAATCTTAATTAAGTTATAGCAGAGAGAGAATAAACATACCCTCGATTCCAGAATGGAAAATGCCAATCCCAAACCAATAAAGGTAATTGTTGACAGGCGTTAGATCATAGACATTGAGATAAACCGGCGTAAGCCCGGCTTCTCCACTGCTCTCTTCCCTCTCATCACTTGAAGATGAGCTTGAGCTCAATGTAGGCACCCACATTTTACACCACAAAACACACAAAATCCCAATTCAAAGTCACGATCGAATCATTCCTTTCTTCCTAAACCTCTGCAACACTAAAAAACTGATGGTCATATTCATCATACAAAGAGCAAAAGTAACAACCAAATGTTCCATGACCTAGATCAAAAGCATTAGAATTCAAGCAATTCGAACATAAGCAATCCACATGTAAACAACTTCTTTGGCGGCTAACGAGAACAGATCCAAGGATTCGATTCCACAGCCGCAATTACACATACAATCAAAATACCTAAGCCTGTAAAAGGAAATCTATCTAACGCAAATCGCTCGAATTCCAAATCGAGAAATCCACAGAACAAAATTGAAATTGGGCGCGTCTTATGTTCATATACAGAAATCGAGCGAGAGAGAGAGAGAGAGAGACGACGAAGACGAAGGAAACGATAAGAGAGCTTACGTGAGCGTCGAGAAGAAGGGATTGGTTTGTAAGAGACACTGCAAAAATGATCGCCTCTTTGTTTTTCAAGATTTGCTTTTCTTTTTCGTTAAAACTTAAGCATATAAGTATATTGAACAAAACTAATGAAAGTCAAAGATAACAACGAATTAATTCGATACATCATACTGTATGTCTCTTCTATACTAATAGTTTAATATATTATTATAAGTTTTGGTTGATTATTTACACTTTCTTTACTTTATCAAAAAATTATTCAATTTACTCTCTCTCAATTTTAATATTAGTTTATTTAAAATTTTTATATATACTGAATAATAAAAATTATTTGAAGCCTCTAATATGTTTCACGAAAAAAAGCTTCGGTGATTTTTTTAAAAACCTCAGAGTAAATAAATAAATAAACTATAAACCAAGTTCAGTTTACAAAGCTATAGAATAGATCATTAAAGTTATCTAATAATCTTTGAGTTGTATTTGTGGGGATCCCTGTATTTGTGTAATTTAGGGCCGGCAGAAGTTGATAATTGTTGTGGTTTATAGCAAAGATGGAATGAATGAAGTAGAGCTACACAGAACATACAAATAAAAAAAAATTAATAGAAACTGTTAGGGATCGACATCGACGTATACAAGATGGGAAGCTTTTACATGCAAAAAGAGTCATCGGTAAAAAAAAAAAAGTCATCGATCACACTGAAATCAAGTCACAAATGATGAATGTATATAGATGGAAATTGTTAAGACTTAAGACCAATTGATTCCCATAATATAAAAGTTTATAGATTAGAGCTTTTTCCCGGTATTATTACAAAGTACTTAGGGTATAGATTTTTCAAGAATTAAATCACAAATGAGAAATATATGATACGATCTATAGAAAACGTATACGTGATATTATAAAAGTCAATTGATCAGAGTTTATACATGCAAAGAAGAGTCATGGGGCTAGCTTTCAAAAATTAAGTCACAAATAGGATATAATCGAGATTGCTAAAGAATAAATCCGAGCTTATATATCATACAAAACAAATGTCACAGATATATGATATTATATCATATAGTAGTTGTTAATAAACTGAATTTTATACATGCAAAACGGGTCATAGATTTTTCAAAAAATATATCACAAAAACCATTGAAAGTAAGTATCCGTTATATTATAAAAGTCATTATGTGTTGTGTTCTTTCGATTTGATTCACTCTTCATGCGATTTTTGTCTCACTATGTCTAGGCGGTTAATAGGTGACTCGGACTGGTTAGAATATTGAGAGTTGTATTAAAAAAAAAAATGAATGAGTTTCCTCGAACGAAAAACTACAAAATCTACCACTTATTCTCAATTTCTTTTAAAATCTACCACATTTCTTCCTTTCTTTCAACTCATACCACATTTTGATGTAGAGTTACCATTTTGCCCTCCCTTTTTATCTTCCTTTTTATCTTTCCTCCCTAATTATTTCTCCTCCCTATTTATCTCTCCTCCCTATTTATCTTCCCTACAATATTAGCTTCTCTATTTATCTTTTTCTTTCTCGAAACACGTGCACTTTAACCAAGAAACATTATATCTCCTGAGACTAAACAATTAACTTTCGTTTTTGTCTCCAGATCTTGTTCCCGATTGGAAATTCTCTGTTGCGTTTAGATCTTGTCCCCGATTTCATCATCTTGCTCTATTATCATGAATTCCACATCTTGTCCACCAATTGTTCTCATTTAAGGGTTTCGAATTTTATTTAGATTTTTCACCATCTATTTTGGTACAGAGATTAGTTGAGCATTATTGTCTTCACCTACCCTGATTATTGAATTTTTTTTCCTTCTATTGCAAAATAACAAAAATATCCAGTTGTTCCCGAGTACTATTACTCATTCTATTACTCATTCGATATGAACTTGTCCCCGATCTAATTCTATTACTCATTCGATCTGAACTTGTCTCCGATCTAATTCTATTACTCATTCGATCTGAACTTGTTCCCGATCTAATTCTATTACCCATTCGGTCTGAACTTGTCCTCGATCTATATCTATTACCCATTCGATCTGAATTTGTCCTCGATCTAATTCTCTTACTCATTCGATCTGAACTTGTCCTCGATATAACATATTCGATCTGATTCTCTTACTCATTCAATCTGAACTTGTCTCCGATCTAATTCTATTACCTATTCCATCTGAATTCGTTATGAACTTTTCCCCGATCTAATTCTATTACTCATTCGATATGAACTTGTCCCCGATCTAATTCTATTACCCATTCGATCTGAACTTGTCCTCGATCTAATTATATCACCCATTCGATCTGAATTTGTCCATGATCTAATTATATTACTCATTAGATCTGAATTTGTCCCTGATATAACATATTATTTAAATAACCGTGCAGCATTTATTGCATACATGCTCCTTCTTTGGAAGCGCCAGACAAAACTATATGTCTCTGACACAGACTATGTCCCTGACACAGACTATGTCCCTGACACAGACTCTGTCCCAATCAGGGGTATTTTGGTCCAGCATTCCACATGTGCTATTGAAATATGGTAGATTTTGAAAGTTTTTTGAGATTGTGGTAGATTTTGAATGCCAGTTGTTAAAATGTGGTAGATTTTGCAATATTGCCTTCCTCGAATGTGCAACATAAAAAAACCAAAGATATGCCATAATTCCACGTCAGCATACAACAAGCTGACCCAACAGAAAAAATAAAATTCAAACAACGGTCAATTGTGGATAACCAAACGGTGGGTGTGGAGATAACGGCGATAAAAGCGGCATGCTCAGAAACTCCGTCATGTCCCAGTCATCAAACGCCGTCAAACCTGACGTCGCCGACTCAACATTCTCGCCGCCGCTAACGGCGTAACTCTCCTCCGTCTTTGGTACCTTCTTCACCACCGTCACTTCCTCCCCCTCGCCGTCTCTCTTCCGTTTGTTGTTCAGGCCATGACCATCTTCAGCGCGTGGATTCCACTTGCCAACTTCAAGCGGGAAATTCAGAATCGCTTTTGATCCTCGGAGTCTAAACGCTGCTTTGTCGTAAGCTCTAGCCGCTTCGATCGCCGTCTCAAACGTCCCGAGCCAAACTCTAGTTCCACGACGGTTCGGATCTCGAATCTCCGCCGCGAATTTCCCCCACGGCCTCATTCTCACTCCTCTGTAATGCCTCTTCTCTTCTGCTGCTACAACCGGTACGGGAAGTTCCGGTTTAGGATTTCCGGTTGCGAATTGAATCCACTTAGTTCGGTTCGGTGGCGCGATCTTCAACGGCGGTTTCCGATTGGATTTAACAATAACGCGAGCAGGATTCGATTGGAACGTGAAGGAATCGTTCGATTCAAGTGGAATTTCAGATTTCATTTGTGAATCAATTATAGGTTTGAGCTCGAAATCAGAAATCTCCGGTTTGGGTGTGACGAGATCGATTATTTCCGGTTTAATTTCAAATTCAGAAAACTCGAAACCGGTTTGATCAAATGACGTGAAATCGTTCATCCATGGATTGGTGGTGGCAGTAGGCAACGGAGACAATTCGTCGAGAAGATACTTCTTGATGAGGAAAAGAGCTGATACTTCGTTTGGTGTTGCCATTGAATGAGATTTCAAAATCTCTTAATATTTTGGAGGAAACAGAGGAAGAAGATGGTTAAGGAAGAACGGTTTGATTTGATTTGACAGTGGAGAAGAGAGTGGGAAGGTATTTTTATAAGAGAGGGTCAAGTCAATGAGAGACTCTTTCAAGGCAACATCCTCAGATTTTTTTAAATTTAAATCTAAATAATCAGATGCGGAAGCGTTTATCTAACTTGCGTGTTTTATCGGGTATACACCGTTTGATTAGATTAAGAACCCCTAGTCAGCGGTTTGATCGTGTGGTTCATCAATGGCAGCTGCGATATGGTTTCTTTGGCTGTTTTATATTGTTCTTTTTGCAGATTAGACAAGAATTTATCGATCCTTGTTTATCAAAATATTAGTACGGTTTAGTAATAATTATTATAAAGTACCCTTTTCGTGTTAATATTTGATTAATTTACTACTAGTTGTGAGAATTTGTTCACATGCATGCATTTGCAATATCAAAAGTTATCGGCCGTATCAACTGTTTGGATAAACACACGTTTTTATTGAAACTTATGAAAGTTGCAATAATTGATGGAAGAAAAACACTGGTTTTTACTTTCACGAACGTCGGATGTTATTTTTGCTTTTGGATAAAAAAATATTTTAGTTAAGAAGACTAGATTCTCCTTATCGATGATGTTTTTGTATGGTCGCCAACATTTGCTAGACAAAAAGACCCATGGAATTCTCGTATAGCTGCCCAAAAACATTTTTTTTTTAAATCCAATAACTTCAAGTTCAACATTCATTTGTTAATCCAATATCTACATAATATTTCGGGATAAAATATCCATTACAACTACCTTTGTTTTCTACATCTCAGACCAGAAAGCTGTTTTTATTTCAATGATCAACACTATATATGTTCATTTCTAGCTGTTGTATAAACTTTGAAAACTAAATGTTGTTCAAATGTTGCAGAAAATAGTATAACATTACACCGATAAATATATACCTTTTTACTGTGTTTTGTGTCTACGGGTACAATCTACAAAATTATAAGATTATCGCTTCATTTGAAAGTGAATAGATATTATCTGACGTATAAAACATAAACTAAAACGCAAACACACAAAAATGCATGCATAATTAGACTATCAGAGGAATAGTAATATTAAAGTTCTAATCTCGAAAGGTAATGGGGCTGCGTAATTAGCGGAATCGTAATACTAATTAAGTTCTAGTCTCAATTATTCTTCAATAATTATAGCCAAAAAATATATTCTACAACATGTGCCCACTTTTGGCTTTGTTTGCTGCTTTCGAACGTGATATATCCGTTTTACGTCTTCATACGAATGTGCTTACTTCATCATAGATATTGATTCATACTTGAAGCTATAATTTACAAAGCCTACCAACACATGCAATTTTCTAATATCAGACAGTATCTATATATATGAACATATTGGTATTGCTCAAGCTTAATTTATCCTAGATGTAGGTTTAAATGAATCTTCTTATATATTTTTCAAATCAACGCTTTCACTTATTGAAAACATTTGTAAATACTTTACATGTCTAGTTCAGCTCTTTGTGCCTACGTACGTATGTTCTTACAAATATCTTTATTTCAACATGTATTTTCATATAAATATAGTTCTCGATAATTACAAAGTATTCGTGTGTATTATATTTGTTAAACAAAAAAAATAGTTTTTTTTTCAAGATTTTCTGGAAATAGAGGATGTCAAAAACTGAAGAAAAAAAAATCTAATACTTATAAATAATCGATTATTAATTGATTTCTTCTTATTAGTCTTTTTTTATATAACTACATGCATTATACATATTTAAACTGGGATAATGGTACCGTACGTAACACCAGATCGAGTTGTGCTTTATGTGTTAGAAAACAACCAATTGCCTCAATCCACAACAAATGAAAACTTAGAGGGCCACATCTTTTCAAAACTAGGTTTACGTTACGTATTTAAGTTTAAACTAATTTTTTAGACGCTTTGTTTAATTAAGAAGCTGATTCTTATTGTTATTATACTAGAGATGATCTTTAAGCCTTTAAAAACGTTTAACGAAGTTAGACGAGATTAGTTTTAACCAGGGCCGGTCCTATGATTTAGGTGGCCTAAAGCATTTTTTAAATATGTGGCCTTTTATATAAACATTAATTTTAAAAAAAATTATATTTAAATATTAGAAAAGTATTAAAAATCTTTAAATGTTTTTAATAGTCTTCGAAATTATTTACACCATTTGATTTGTCGAGGGTTTTTTTTTGTTTGAATAAGAAATAAATGTCTTATTTATAAAACCAAATATTAAAGGTTTTTTGTGAAAGAAAAAAAGAATTAAACTATCAAATAAAATAATAAGTGAACTGAAGAAAAAAAAAAGAGGGGAAAGTGCCCACGAAAAAAACAAAACTGCTCACGGAAAAAGAAAGAAGAAAAACGAGTGCCACAAAAAAAAACACATAAATGGCTAGGAGAGGATTCGAACCAGTACATCTGACATAAAATTGGACTATTTAACCAGCAGACCAAAGAGTTAATTTAGCAAATGTGGCCCTTTCGTTTACTCTTATATCATGTGGCCTAAAGCAAGTGCTTCACTTGCTTTATGGACGGGCCGGGCCTGGTTTTAACCACTACACAACACAACATGTCCTAATTGTGTGATCGCGGTCCTAGTTCATTTGATAAAATAAGAACGAAAAGTTTGATCGTATGATATACTAGTTCATACTTAAATTGTTCTTCTCGAATTCCATTCAACAAAACTTTTCAATAACTTCCTTAATAAAATATTTAATTTTAGCAATTGGACATAAATAATTATTCTTTCTGAACAGTATATTACAATTAAGTTGGAATTTGTAATTTCTGCGAAAGTATACTATAATACTATACTATTAAATACTTGTGGGTAAAAGTAATCAAACTCTTAGCTTTTTATTAAAATGGTTTGAGGCGTGTACGTATATATGCATGTATCTTGTCTCTTTCAAAAATGATTGAACACGTGCATTTATTACATTTATCTCACTTTTATATGGAGTACAATTTCAACTTTAAAACTGAAAATTGTCAAAAGTGCGAATATTTTAAAGAAAATGTTTTTATGGTTTTTTTTATAAGAATGTTTTTATGGTTTGTTAAAATAAATATGAGAACCTAAGAACTTAAAAGGATAGTGTTCTTATGTAGAAAAAAAAATGGATTTTTTTTTATATTATATTAATCTTTCAAGGTACCAACAAAATGTTAAAAGAATTGAGGAAAAAATAATTGTCATCTTTGTTATACTCCCTCTGTTCCTTCAAGATTGATGTTTTAGATTTTCACATATATTAAGAAACAATCATTGTCTAATTATTTGTCAATTACTTTTTTATATCAAATATTTTTTAATAAGTTTGAACCAATAGTAATATAGAACAGTTAATCATTGCGCCTTGAAGTTTACGATATATTAATATCAATTAATAAAAAATAAAACAAAAATCTAGAAAATCAATCTTTGTGGAACAAATTAAAAAGCTAGAACATCAATCTTCTAGGAACAGAGGGAGTATCATCTTTGTCGAAGAACTCAATTGCAGTGGGAATGCACGTGTGGGTTTGTTTTCAATTGCAGTGGGAATGCACGTGTGGGTTTGTTTTCACGTACACAGATGTTTGTAGAAAGTTTGAAAATTCTATTGGTCAAAAAGTCTTACACGACCGGATTTGGTCAATTTCAAAGCTGATGTGTCATAGACTCATATGCTTCACCTCTTACAAATGTGTACCATTTCTATTAAACTCAATAAATTAAGAGAGACTCAAATATCAAGTATGTAATCTAATGTCGTATATATTCTAAAAATTTTATGTAAGTTTCAAACCACAGATTCGGATGATAACGAAAATTAATTATTATGAATATTCAAAATATACAAATAAAATGGAAGACACGAGAAAAATCAGTTTTCTCGAAAATTTACTCATATCAAATCTAATTGTGTTCTAAATTAAGAACACTTTAAAAAAAAAAAAACTAGGGGAATTCCAAATCGAAATCTAAATTGATGACTATAGAAATTTGGGTTCTTTTCTCATTAGAGGCATTTGCGAGACGCCAAATTTATCAATTTCTACTTTAGACCCTTAAAAAATTATGTAACTCAAATGGTAGATTCTATCCACCACATCTCTTATATATTAATTGAGAAGCACTTTTAAAAAATAACCTTATCTTCATGTGTGATTAATAAAAATGTCAACATGTTGTTTTCATAGAGTTTCTCAATCCATTTAATTAAAAACCCAACATTTACTAAGATATTTACAGATTTTGTCATTAGTTTTACTTATATTTATTTTTTTACATAATTTATGTTTTTTTATTTTACTCAATTAATTAAAACGAAATACAATTAAAATATGCAATTAAGATATACAAATCTATACAGGATGGAGTACTTAATATTTTGTATATTGATTAATATACCAAGATATATATCATAAATTATGGTAAACATAAACACTAATATATAAATGAAAATTTCACTAATCTTGATAACCATTAATACTCCGTCGTTTATAATATAAAAGTCGAACACCGTCAATATCACTAATATATTGAAATTGGTTAATAATCGATTTGTCCCGCATATAGTACGGGTTGTTATCTAGTCTTGATTAATTATAGAACATCTTGGTTAATAGTTATCTACAACCAAATAAACTATAAGTTTTGGAGACGTTTCAACCTTAAAAACGACATCACAATAATCTATGAATTTTCATTATCTTTTGACAATGATGTAATGCAACTGAATTAAATTGGACAGTAATGCTTATATAAAAATTCCTTTTGTCAATAATCTAAAACAATGGTAGCTGCTCTGGATTCACTCCAAACTCATCTGACATCTCTATAGGCCACCGTTTTATGATGGGTATGTTCATTTTGGAAGTCGTCATGAGCAATTACTAATAGCGACTATCAATAGTGAATTAGTTATTTATGACATTTGTTTTTGTTTGTTTTATAGCCATTAGCGATGAAATTTTGTTCGGTTCATAGTTACTATAATTTTAGATTTTAAAATTTAAAATTAGCGACAATTGGTAATTAAACTTTATTGCTGTCGGTAGCAAGTGTATCTCGTTGGTCATTAGTGACTACAAATGCTGTATGATTTAGTTGTTGTTGTTGTTGGTGATATACATGCGATCTCGTCATTCATATGAGAAATTTTATCATTTCATTTCTTTTCTTTAACTCTGAAAACCAAAAAAGTTTCAGGAAAGCTAGATTAATTACCAGATTTTTAATCAACAACATAAATAAGTCTACAATGTGAAAAAATTTATCCATAAAAAATATATAAATCAAACGTTTGAAAATATACTAATCACGTAAAATATAGAAACCAACCACTAAAATTAATCTACAATATAAAAAAACATCCAAAAAATATATACGTAACTAATTTAAATAAATTGTTTAGCGAATAAATTTTTCATAAACCATGAAATTGAATACATACAGTATATGTTTTACAGTTTTTTATTTTTTTAACAGTTGATGTCTTTAATTTGTTTCTTGTAAGTTTAAAATGTTATCTATTTACCTTGGGTCTGATTGGTAACAAGCTGTTAGCTGTTAGCTGGAGCGGTTAGCTGGAGCTGTTAGCTGTTAGCTGGAGCGGTTAGCTGGAGCTGTTAGCTGTTAGGGAATAGTGCAAAGCTGTACAATGTTAGGGAATAGTGCAAAGCTGTACAAAATAATAAAACACGAAAGCTGTACAAAAAAAATAACGCATAACAAATTTTAAAAATTTATTATGATTGGAAACATCATAGCAGTACACATAATAAATAATATTAAGAATTTAGAAAGAAAAAAAATTACATAGAAATGTACTTTAGTATATAATTACATATGAAAACAAGGGCTTTGATTGGTGAACAAAAATAAAGCTGTACAGCTTTGACAGTTACCAATCACAAAAACTTTATGAAAAGCGGTACACTATAACATAAACAGTTTTTTTTGGACAAAAACAAAAACAAATTAAAACGGTTACGGTTAAATACGGTTATGGTTAATACGGTTACGATTAAATACGGTTATAACAGTTACGGTTAAATACGGTTATAACGGTTACGGTTAAATACAGTTACGGATAATTACGATTATAGTTATTTAATGACTACAATACGGTTAATATCGGAGGCGAAATCTTACGAGTTATCTAACTTATTATAATACTTTTCATAAAATCAAAAAGTATGTTACAAACCAAATTTTCTTCATTTCGAGCAAAATAACAGTATAACATATTTGTTTGAGAAAAAGACCATTTTTTATAACGTAGATTTTTTCATATGCAGTATCATTTACTTTTTTGAAAATCTTAATCTGAACATTCGATAATTGTTTTTGCATTATATGGAGTTACAATTATATTTTTAAAGTTTTAATTATGTAGTTAACCATATGGTTAAATAACGGTTTTCATATGTTTACCGTTAATTAACGGTTACGGTTAATATATTTTTTAACTGTAACTAATTATTTTTTACGGTTAACGGTTACGGTTTTTAACCGTTTTATACGGTTACGGTTGAGAAACGGTCCGTAACCGTAACCGTATTTTGGATCGTAACTGGACCAAAAGCTAACCGTAACCGTATTTTGGATCATAACTGGACCGTTTTTCAACCGTAACTGTATAAAACGGTTAAAAACCATAACTATTCACCGTAAAACTAGATTAGTTATGGCTAAAAAAAATATACTAACTGTAACGTTAATATACCGGAAACGTATCAAAACCGTTATTTAACCGTACGATTAGCCGCACGGTTAACCGTATTATTAACCGCATAATTAAACTTTATAAAATATAATTGTAACTATGTATGATGCAAAAAAAAAAGTCTCGAATGTTCAGATAAAGATTTCCGAAAAAGTAAATAATACAGCCTATGAAAAAATATCATTAGAAATAATGGTTTTTTTCTCAAAAAATTATTTTGGAATGTTATATTTTTCAAAATGAATTTTTTTTTTATTTATTATAGGACTAGTAAATTCATATTATTATTCTAACAATAAAATATTGTTCATTCTATATAATCTTAATTTTCATATGTAATTATATACTAAAGTACATTTCTATGTAATTTTTTTTTCTTTCTAAATTCTTAATATTATTTATTATGTGTACTGCTATGATGTTTCCAATCAGAGTAAGTTTTTAAAATTTGTTCTGCGTTATTTTTTGTACAGCTTTCGTGTTTTATTCTTTTGTACAGCTTTGCACTATTCCCTAACATTGTACAACTTTGCACTATTTCCTAACAGCTAACAGCTCCAGCTAACCGCTTCAACTAACCACTCCAACTAACAGCTAACAGCTTGTTACCAATCAGACCCATCATCTTACCATCCTTCCTCGGAGGAGTCTTCATTGCAAGTTGGCAAAAGCGAGAGACCCACCCATTCACTTTTAACTTTTAGTTTAGCTCAACACGAGAGAAATTATATATTTTCTTTTGTTTAGTGATGTATTGACGTTTTTTTTTTCCGATACTTATTAAGGGTGTGAATGGAGACACTTGTAATGCGGATTTCAAAGCGGTTTTGGTAAAACCGCTTTACTTTCACCAATCACAAGTTTTTCTAAAAATTGTGGTTTTAAGAAAACCAAAAAGTAAAACCGCAGAATGTATAAAATTGTCTGCTGAATTAAAAAACGCACCCCAATATCTCACCACATCTAATAAGCAGTGGTTTTGTCAATTACGCACTGAATAACTTTTTTTTAAAAAAATATTTTTTGACTTTTGATTATTAGATATCATATTATCCAACACAATACATTACCTATGATTATAATTTTAAAAACTATAGATTACCACCAAAAAAAATTAAAGATTTTTGTTGTTAATACTAAAAATTCCATTAAAAAAATTATGGACTTACAAACAAGTAAAACATTATAATTATAATTAATTATCTTTATCTCTCTCTTTTCGACATCATCATACTTTCCTTTAAATTCTGTTGTCGAGAGAACTTTTGGAGTTTGGAAAAAAAAATGGAAGATTCTTTCTGATGTTCTGAGATATAATGTTCATGTTAAAAAAAAGAGTGATAATGGCTACAGTGGGATTACATAATTTCATCAGAATTTCAAACTTCTCAGATACAGATTTTGCAGATGTAATGACAGAGACAAATATAAACAACAGAGATTTTGATCATGATTTAGATGACATAAAATCAATAAAGATAACAGATAGAGAACATATGACGCAAATACGAGACAATATTGCAAATATGTTATGGGAAAATCAAAGTAATAGATAATATTTTTTATGATAAACTTAGTCAACGCATGTAACAATATATATGTTGCAAAATTAAATTTATATTTTGATCGATTTTTGTATAAATGGTTTATAAATATCTGTTATTATTTCTTTATTAACACAAAAATTAATTAATTATTAATATATATAATCTATAATCCGTACCGCAAGTAGTTTTTTTCACCAATCAAACATTACTTTACCGCTTATTTTGTACAAACCGCACTTGTCCCGCAAATATATTTCTCCCGCACGTACCGCAGTTGAACCGTACCGCACTATAATAACGCTTTTCCCGCACAATAAAAACCGCGGTTACCATTCGGACCCTAGGAAAAATTTGAATTTTCGGTTTACCATACATGAACTATCTTTCTCCGGCGGGAATTTGAAAGTCATTATGCCCATTAAGGAGTCATAATATAATTTTGTAGTTATTATTGTATCCGGTGTCAAACAAAAAATTAAATTTGGTTGTACATTGTGAGATGTAAAACCTAGAGAGATGAAGTCTTAATAAGTAATGTTTGAATAAACTTGAATCACGTTTTCCATCAAATTCTCTTTACTTCTCGTTTGTTTAAAAAATAAGATGCTAGAAATAGAAAATTTTTAGCAGATAATTTTGAAAATCCACTAAAAAAATGTTTGCTCAAATTCGAGCATTTAAAGTTTACAAATATCTCATGTTACAAACTTCTCACACTGTAAACAGAGGTAACATTATCTTTGTAAAGACAAAAAGGTTCACACAACTTGCTTTTCTACTCGAGTTGTTGTCAGAGCCTCTCTCTTCGTTAAACTACTAGTTTGGTGGCTAGCTGATATTGTCTCCAAACCTATTGCTTAACCTCAACGGTACAAACCCATGTGAATGATGATGACGAAGTTGCATTATTTGTTTCAAGCGAACCACTGAGGAGTGTCAGTGAACCAAATCTCTAAATTCCTAATCGTACAAACATTTGGAACGCATATCTTAATCTTTTTTTTTTTTTTTCCGCATATCTTAATATTTTCTCTCTTGTAACTCCAAAAAAAAAGATAAGTTAGATTTTGTATAAACTACTTGCTATATTTTTTTTTACAGATATACTTGCCATCTATACAAGACTATATTTAACAAAACTTCACTAGGATTCTAAAATGGTATAACCTTGTTTGATTAACAAAGCTGATTTTATATTAGATTTGTTGAATTGTTTCGGTAAACCGGCGGTTCAAGTTGGGAAAAAAACAAAAAAAGAAACAAACGCTAAAGTCACCCAAAGACAAAAAGCCGAAGACAAGTTGAGAGAGACGAGACCAATCACAACATTGCTTCCGTAGATTGCGTGACATCATCCTTGACGGCTACTTCCATTTGTGTCTTATTTGGATAAAACGCACGTGTTTAATTCACGAACCTTCATAGCAATAGAAAATTCCATTACTTTCATATTTTCAACTTTTTTTATTAGCCACTACATGCTTACAATAATAATTTACAGGTCTTTTGTCAAATTCAAAATTTTCCAGGTTCATGAACCTTTTTTTTTATCTCAATCTACTCTCTCTATATATAAATATAACAAAACCTCTTTATTTTTCATTCACACCAGACATTTTGAAATCTCAACAAGAACCAAACCAAACAAAAAAAAAACATTCTTACTAAATATCTCTCTGTTATGTCGATGACGGCGGAATCTCAATCCGACTACGCTTTTCTTGAGTCGATAAGGCGACACTTACTAGGAGAATCGGAGGCGCGACTCAGTGAGTCGATAGCGAGTTCGGTGGCGCAATCTTGTACGACAGGTAACAGTGTTAAACCAGTGTACGGACGAAACCCTAGCTTCAGCAAGTTGTATCCTTGCTTCACCGAGAGCTGGGGAGATTTGCCGTTGAAAGAAAACGATTCTGAGGATATGTTAGTTTACGGTATCCTCAACGACGCTTTTCACGGCGGTTGGGAACCGTCTTCTTCATCTTCCGACGAAGATCATAGCTCTTTTCCGGTGGTAAAGATCGAGACTCCTGAGATTTTCGCGGCGGTGGATTCTGTTCCGGTGAAGAAGGAGACGACGAGTCCGGTTCCGGCGGCGAAGGGAAAGCATTATAGAGGAGTGAGACAAAGGCCGTGGGGGAAATTTGCGGCGGAGATTAGAGATCCGGCGAAGAACGGAGCTAGGGTTTGGTTAGGGACGTTTGAGACGGCGGAGGACGCGGCGTTGGCTTACGACAGAGCTGCTTTCAGGATGCGTGGTTCCCGTGCTTTGTTGAATTTTCCGTTGAGAGTTAATTCAGGAGAACCCGACCCGGTTCGGATCAAGTCCAAGAGATCTTCTTCTTCTCCTTCTTCCGAAAACGGAGCTCCGAAGAAGAGAAGAATGGTGGCCGCCGGTGGTGGGACGGATAAGGGATTGACGGTGAAGTGCGAGGTTGTTGAAGTGACACGTGGCGATCATTTATTGGTTTTATAATTTTGATTTTTCTTTGCTGGATTATGATTCTTCAAAAAAGGAAGAACGTTAATAAGAAATTCGTTTATTATTATATTTAACTTCCTAATCATTCCATTTAGTAGTGGGATCAAACTTTTTTCTGAAGGAAACTTTTAGTAGAAAACAAATCATTCCCATTGCAAGTGGGATAAAAAAAAAAAAAAATTGTTTATGAAAATCATAATTTGTTAGAAAATTCAATTTCCTAATATCTTAATATACAGTATAATAAGATATTTGTGAACACTGAACATGTACATAAAAGTGAAACACAGCAAAATTTTGACTTTCTGAAATAAATGAGTATTGTCTTTGGTAATGTGCTTAAGCCAAAAAAACGTCACCACAGTTTGAATTAGTTGGTTCGTTAATAAATATTAGTATTTTAAAATATTAATTTTCAACTAATTTAAATTCTGTGTGGTGTATTTTTGATGTAAACATTAGATGTATGATGTATATATAAAAGTTATACAACCCAATTATTGGAGAAAAAGACAGAGTCACGGAACTAATTAACTTCTAAATCAAACACAAACTGATATAAACATACGACCAAACACGAGAATCTTATAGAAAGATAACAGCCACAATAGTATTATTTTCTTAAAAAAATTGTAACCAAATCGATAAACAATTAATAGCAGAAGTCAATGTCGAACTCGAACATATCAAATCATTTCAATGAAAATAGGAATTGGGCAAGGTGGTTCGGACAAGATTGGTTTTTGCTAAGAGATTTTCGTTTTTTTTTGTTTGAATTTGGGATTGTAATAAAGAGATAATCCCAACACAACCATAAATAGGACCTACGATTCTGCATTGTGCTTCAAAGGAGCTAGAGATAACCCACTGCTGCTGCTCCTTCATCTTGTGGGAACCCAAACCGATATGTTTATTTTAGGGTTTTATCTGCAATACAAAATGTTTCACAATATATATTCATCTAAATTATCGATTGAAATTTATCTATTCACTTTTAAAATTTTCTTAACTCATTCATGGAGGTATATATTGTTACATTCGAAACAATTTAGATATTTCCTTACATGAAATATCCAATAATTCAACTAGAACATTGACTTAAATTATTTTTATTTTTAATATTAGAAGAGTTTTAGACGTAAACTCGAGCTTCTCCTTTCTACCGATGACTTTGAATAGTCTAACAACTATCTTAATTAGAATGATTGATTTCACATAGAATGTATGAAGTATATAAATGAGGAAAAAGAAAGAAAGAAGATATATAAAGATATACCTGAAGAATCTTGGCAACATTGCTAGCTCCATATATTTAAACTTTTGGGGGATATTCATACTAGGAGGGAAATAGGTGAGAAAAAATACAATTTTGAGGGCATCTTCTTCTAAGATATTTGAAAGCTGCACATGTTATTATTGGATTCATTTCTTAGATTTTCTTAGAAAAGTTTAGAAAGACAAAATTCTTTCGAAGATTTGTTCTAAGTCTTTCAAAAATATAGAATGAACTTGGTATTTGTATAGATAGGTGTGTATCGGTAGTTTCATTTGGGAGAATAAATATTACCAATTTCAATTCAGCGGCTACTAAGGAACCACTCGTTTATTTCCCAAGAAATACACAATATACGTTAGATCTTATTTTACCTTTGATTTTGACAATATATTTGAAATATCAATGAGTTAGAATATTGGTAGTGAATACTGAATACTGACGATAACGATGATGGTGCCAGGAAAGCAATGTTTAACAATTTTTATTATCATTTTTATATTATATTATAATTTTTTTTAGTTATTTAAAGATTGCGGACGAAAAAGATTAAAGATTAAATACGTTTTTATGCTACCATTGACTCCAATCCAAAAACAAAAAAAGAATATAATATAGGACCTTTGAAATTGCATTTGTCCATCTATACTTTTCTTACTAAATTGTTACTTAGGACTAAATTACTTTTTAAAGTGGATAAACCAAATGTAAAGCAATGTAAAACATGAACAATGGAAATTAACAAATGTTAGAACAAGATAAGCTGCTTCAAATTTGATGAGGAATATTTCAGGATATAAATTTTCTCAGTTAATTTTTTCTTCATCAGTTACCTTTTTCCTTTAAGATATTTTTCTTTATTGGTATTATACTGTATTTTTTTCTTTGCAGCTAAAATTATCACCAAAAAGTTTCACTTTGTATAAATAGTTATTTTTTTCTCCTTGAATAAGTTTTTAACTAGTTAGTACATAAATAGCTTTTTTTTTTTTTTTTCCTTGTATAAGTTTTTAACTAGTTATACTTTCACACAATCACACATAGATAACTAGTTATATTGAGAATTATTGACTCTGCTTTCAAAACGCTACGAGACAATAATTCAATACGAATCTACAGATATTGTGATTCGATTCATAAGTGTTACTCATCTAGAAATGCATTCTCTAAACCATGATCATCAACTGCGATTTGTTCAGAACATAGAAAAGCAGAATCCGAAGATATAAAATAGTCACAAACTCAGAAACAAGACTTAGGAGCTTCGCTTTTTAAGAAGACCCTCAGGTTCTCTTAGAGATGGCTATCAGATTGAAGTTCAGAGAATCTGGGTTCTTCTCAATCATTTTCTTTATCACTATCGTTGCGTCCTGCGAAGTTTAATACACAAATGCAAATGTTTACCAGTTCATCTAAAACAAAACGATTGCATATTCCCCTAATTCTTCAACACTCGGGTGAAATTAAGCTTCAAGAATGAAGGTTTTTTATAGTACCTTCAAGAGGGTAGCTGGAGAGGAAGCACCGTGTGAAATCGGTCCTGCCTTTCTTCCATCAAGTTCATAGAGCTCACCTACGTTATATGATAATGCAAGGAGGAGTGCCATAATTTAGTGTCAATTCAGAAGTGAGTTTGATTTCACTATTCTCATTTTGGTGGTTGATGTGAGAATTCGTTACCTTCTACACAAGCTAAACAGATGAAATGCGTGACCGCATCGTCTGAAGCCTGAAGATGGGAAAAAGTTTAAAACCAACGTAACACTTAAATGAACAAGTTACACAGATAAATTAGCATCAATGGGAGGTGAGAACTTACAGCTGTATCACCCGCTGAAACAGCTACAGAATGAGCATCTTCTATTTGACTGTCATTCTCAAGATACTTTGCACGCTATCAAATTTTCCATAGAAACATTAGACGCAAAGCAAACACTCAGAATTGTTAATAGTTAATAATATAGAGATAAGAAAAAACACCTCCATGGGAGTCATGTTGGCAGTGGATTTGAAGAATCTATCCAAGAACGATCCCTCGGCTTAAAAGCAAGGAGAAGGTAACAATCAATAAGAATTCATATCCTACGATTAAAGAAGAAACACGTAAAGAGTTTGAAAAACTCACAGAGTTTGATTTCAGAGGTTATATTCCCAATAGCATGAAGAAGGCCAATGGTTCCACAAGCATTACCAACAGTTTGTTTCATGAAGTAAACTTTATCACTATGCACCTATCATTCATCAACGCAGAATCAAAATAAGACTCGATTACAGAAACAAAGGTTCTTTTTGATGTAGAACAATCAGAAACTAACCTTTTCCTTGATTTCCTTGTCTTGCTCGATTCTCTCTTCTTCACTCTATAAAGCAAGATCACAAGGTTTCAAATACAATCAGAAATTTACACAGAATCATAGATGGATTTGAAATTGAAAATAAAAAAGAAGAGAACCTTTGTGGTGATGGGGTAAAGGAAGAGAACAGCAAGAACAGGCTTTGGAACCATCTCTAGAAGTTCGTCGTCTAAGCCAAACACATCATTGCACTCTGCTGCATCAGGGGCAAGACCAAGTCCCCAAAGATACTGTACATACCAATACGGATTAAAACACACATAACTGACCTAGATTCCTCCCGATTTCGAAATTCCGGTGATCGGAGGAGTAATTTGCGGAACCAGAGAGGAAAATCGGAAAAACCGGAGAGTGGAGCAATACCTGATTCATCACATCTGGGTTAGATTCAAGTGGAAGCCATCTCTTAGCTGAATAACTCTCGCTTGCGGTCGCCATCTTCGGATCTTTCTTCGTCACTTTCGATCGAATTTTGCAGAAGAAATCAATCTTTGATCTTTCTATAAGAAAACACTTCGGCTCCAAGATACGAATCCCTCAAAATCCGAGAGTGAAGCCCATTAGTGCTATTAACGGGCCTTGGCCCATTTTAATATGTTTCTTGACCAAAAAAAACATAGGTCGATCGATTCAATATCAATAAAATGGCACTCTTCCAAGGAAAGTTGTTGTTCTACAACTACAAATATGGATTCTCTATAAACCAGAAGATTCAGAATATACAAAAGCAACAAAACGAGTCAGTCATAAACTCAAAAACAAGACTTAGGAGCTTTGCTTCTTAAGAACAGTCACTCAGGCTTTCTTAGAGATGGCTATCACATTGAAGTTGAGAGAATCCGGATTCTTCTCGATTATCGTCTTTATCACTTTTGCTGCGTCCTGCGAGTATAATATCACCCGAAGATATACATCAAAGCTATTCAAGTATATATAGGTATTGTTCTATACACAACCATTGTGTTTTCTTGGATTATTTTGACGTTTTGATAACTCTTTAAGTTTAAAGAGTGAAGGGTTTATAGTACCTGCAACAAAGTAGCTGGAGAGGAAACACCATGTGAAATTGGTCCTGCCCTATCTCCATCAAGTTCATAGAGCTCACCTGCATTATAGAGTGTCACAATTTAGTGCTACTTTTGGAAGTGAGTTTGATTTCAGTATTTTCATTTTGGTGTTGATATGAAAATTGTTACCATCTACACAAGCTAAACAGATGAAATGCGTGTCCACCTCGTCTGAAGCCTGAAGATGGGTAAACATAAAAATAACCAATGTAAGATCTAAATGAACTAGTCACAAATACATTAGCATGAATGGGAGATGAGAAGTTACCGTTGTATCACCAGCTATAACAGCTACAGAATGAGCATCTTCTATTTGACTGTCATTCTCAAGAAACCTTGCACGCTATCAGAAACATTAAACACAAAGCAAACACTCTAAGGAAGATCAAATATAGATGAGAAAGAGAAGATAGAGAAACACCTCTATAGGAGTCATATTGGCAGTGGATTTGAAGAATCTATCCAAGAACGATCCCTCGGCTGTAAAAAGAAATCAAAAGTGAAAATCGATAAGGATTCATATCCTATGATTAAAGAAGAAGCACATAGAAAGCCTGAGTATATATAACTCACAGAGTTTGATCTCAGAGGTTATATTCCCAATAGCATGAAGGAGCCCAATGGTTCCACAAGCATTATCCACAGTTTGTTTCATGAAGTAGACTTTGTCAGTCTGATGTACCTATCATTCATCCACACAAAACATGAACGAGAGTTATCTACAAAGACAAGGGTTCCTTTTTATTAGAACAAATCAGATGTTGATCAGACAGAAACTTACCTTTTCCTTAATTTCTTTGTCTTGCTTGATTCTCTCTTCTTCACACTACAGAGCAAAAATGAAGGGCTTTTCAATCAATTACAAGCAGAAATTTATCAGAATCATAGATGGATTATTACAAAGGAGAGACCTTTTTGGTGATTGGGTAAAGAAAGAGAACAGCAAGAACAGGCTTTGGAACCATCTCGAGAAGTTCATCGTCTAAGCCAAACACATCATTGCACTCTACTTCATCAGGAGAAAGACCAAGTCCCCAAAGATACTGTAATGACCCGATACGAAAAATCAATGAAAAACAAAACCTGATAATCTTTCCGATTTGAAAACGTTTTCTCCAATGATCGGAGACGAGAATCGATGAATACTTTGAGGAATCAGAAGGGAAAGTTGGGGAATACCTGATTGATAACATCTGGGTTAGCTTCAAGTGGAAGCCATTTCTTAGCTGAATAACCTTCGTCTACTGTCGTCATCTTCTGATTTTTCTCTGTCACTTTCTGTTTTTTTTTTTTTTGGGACAAAACTATGACTTTGGTCGGTTGAAACGGGTCAACCCGCTCTATCAAGTCCACTCCGAGACGGGCCAAAAGAATTTATCTCCAGCTAGGTTGGTGGTCTGCGAATATAGATAGGTAGGCAAATGAGTGTGGTCTACAAAAGTTCGTAGTGTCGTGGCATATGGAATAGATTATTTCCTAAAACTTGCTTTTTTAACGATTTGGTGGAGGGACCTCGACCCAAATGTTTAAACTACTGACTACAGTCACTTATAGTTTAATATTTTCAGTAATTGGAAATTTAGTTAAAAAATATAGGGTTTGATTGGTAACTAAGTACAAGTTTTTGATTGGAAAATCTTTTGTTAGTTTGCATTTTGATCTATCCTATAAGTTTGAAGATTAGGTTTTGCCTTATTTCATTAACATAGGCGGCGAAGGGTGTTTTAGATTAGGTTTTTGGGGTCTTATATCATAGGGTATTCATATTTCTTCTTTTCACAGTTTATTCTCTCTAATTTTCTTTCTTGTCGCAGCGCATACAACTAAGAGTTACTGCTATTTCAATATATTCAATCAAAATTCAAAAAATTTGAAAACATTTTTTTTTGTTAGCTTTCACTTTTATTTTATTGAGAAAATTTGAAAACATTATATTTGAAAAATATTCTTAATTTTGCTTAGAAATAAACTTCTCATAAGAAAACTGAAGTATTTACCCGAAAATCAACTAAAATGCAAGAATTTTTATACATTATAAAAGAATAATACTTTTGTTTCAATGTATGTAGACAATTTTTATCCCATGTAGTTAAATTAATTTTGTATGGGGGTCAAAAACTATAAAATATTATGGTTATTATAACTATTTTTTAAGAAAATACAGTTAACTTTTCAAAATTTATAGTGGTCAATTGACCCCCATAAAACTATACTGCCTCCGCTTATGTGGATATCCGTGTTTGTAGAATTATAGAATGGAAAATCTTTTGGAAGAAGCTCAAAGAAAAGTCACCATTTCGACTTTCAGCTATATAAAAAAAGACCAAAATAGTTTCAAACCCTTTAACATTTAGTACAATTAAAAAGCCTCAGCTTGTACACAAACTGTATTTGAATTCATTAACGATAAAACTAAATAAAAGCCTTGAAGTAAATCTTCGATGAGGAAGTGTATTTAATAAACTAGTTGATGGTTTATTTTTTAGAGATTTTAGTTGGGAAAAACTGCTAGTACTTGCTACACATTGAGAAATGCCTAACATTAGTATTATGGGTCCGACACAATAATTCTTCCAATAGCCCATTGTTTGCTAGCATGATGTCTCGTATATGTTTCGAAGATTAGGTTTTGGCTTTCTACAGCAAAGCATCCTAGGGTTTTTCATACAGCAAAACATACACAAATAAATGAAAAAAATGAAAAAGACGGATATCCAGTGGCGGAGCTAAAATTGTTGTTGTAAAGGTCCAAATTTTTTTAAATATAAAATAATATACATTATATATAAAAAATATTATTAATTTTGATTAGAAATAAACTTCAAAATGAAATATTTACCTGAAAATCAACCAAAATGAAGTTTTTTTATACATTATAAAAGAATAATATTTTTGTTTCAATGTATGTGGACAATTTTTATCCCATGTAGTTAAATTAATTTTGTATGGGGTAAAAAGCTATAAAATATTGTGGTTATTATAATTAATTTTAAGAAAATATAATTGATGTTTTAAAATTTATAGTAGTCAATTGACCCCCATAAAACTATACTTTATCCGTCCATGTGGATATACGTGTTGTAGGGTTATAGAATGAAAAACTTTTTGGAAGAAGTTCAAAGAAAAGTCACCATATTACAATTTATTTAGATTTTTAGCTAAAAGAAAATACCAAAATTTTTCTCATAGTTTCAAAGAATTAATTACGGATTTTGTCCTTTTTTATAATGACATTTGTGGATTTTGCCCTTTTTTGAATAGTTTGTGCATTTTGCCCTTTTTCATGCTCCAAAAATATGATTTAACATGCGTTCACTCGTTATGTGTGGGTTTAGTCGGTTCCATTTGTTCTTAGGGTTTAGTATTTGGTATATAGTACGTATTTTTGGGGAAAAAAATCCTAAATACGTACATTTTTAAGTATTAAAAAATGGCAAAATCCGTAAACTATTCAAAAAATACATTTTCGTAAGTTTTTTTTAAAAAAGTACATTTTAGACAATAATCCCAAGTTTCAAATCCTTTGACATTTAGTACAATTAAAAAGCATCAGCTTGTACAAAAACTGTTTATTTGAGTTCATAAACTAAAACTAAATAAAAGCTTTGAAGTAAATCTTTGATGAGAAAATGTATTTAGTAAACTAGTTAATGGTTTATTTTTTTTGGGGATTTTAGTTGAGAAAGCTGCTAATGTTGCTACACATTGGAAAAATGCCTAACATGTTAGTATTAATGGGCCCGACCCAATAATTCTTTTATTAGCCCATTATTTGCTAGGATGATATCTCGTATAGTCGTATATATGAAGATCAGGTTTTTCTCTTTCATACAGCAAATCATCCTAGGGTTTTGGCTCTCTTCTCTCTCTAACCTTCTTACTTTTTCTGTTAGTCACTCTTTTGTTTGGCGTCTAAACAACGCTGTCTGAATCATATCTTCGATTCTGATTCTGACTTTCCTTCATGGATTCGTATAGCCAATAAGGTTTTTCAATTTTCAAAACAAAAACCCAATCAAAATAATCCCGTGACCAGTTTCTCTTTCGATTCAGTCGGACCGGAAAAAAATGGCGTCTTTGAACCCTTTCGATCTCTTGGACGATGACGCAGAGGATCCCAGCCAGATTGTTGCTGCTAAGCCATTGAAGGTTGCTGCTCCGGTTCAGCCGGCTAAGTCTGGTAAGATGCCGACTAAGCCGCCTCCTCCTGCTCAAGCCGGTAAGTCTTATACTAGATTAGACTTTGATAGATTTGTTAGCTTAGTTTTTGATTTAGTCAAACTTATTGATTAGACTCATAGTTTTGACTACAAAGTGTGATTATTTTCTTGTTTAGTTAAGTTTTACTTAGTTTGGTCGTTGTTGTAGATTTGGAATATGAATATCTTAACAACCTTACTTTACCACCATAAATAATGTTACTTTGTTGCGTTAATTTAATCAGATGTTACATTTTCTTTAATTTGAGTAGTGAGGGAGGCCAAGAACGCTCCTGTTGGAGGTCGTGGTGGTGGACGTGGAG